AATAGGAGTTTTTTTTTTCCAACCCCGAGGCTGTCTACCCTCTTGTGAAAATTTAAAGGATTTCTTCCATTTCACAGAGCACAACATAAGAGTTGTCTCAGCAAAACAGAGCAGGGGATCAGTGAAAGGCGAAGAAAGTTCAGCTGCAGTAATCACTTAGTGGTTTAATACTTTTTTCTCTGTAACTTGTCCATACATTTCTTTCTTTTTCATCCTTCCTTGATTCCGTATTTTCCGACCTAAGTCAGTGTGGATCAATGTATCGTAAATTACAAGAAAGTACAGAAAAGTTGAAACAAAGTGAGACAGAGACAAACACACACTGGGTCACCCTGAACAACTGCTCATCATCCATTATTTATAACTTTATGAGCCAAGGCAATATCGAAAATGTGGCTTCGTCTGAAAGGTTCCCCTGAGGCTTTTATACAACTAAATACATAACAAAGCCGTAAAGGATGGGGAGAAAATAATTGGCCTGGTATTTTAGGCTTAGATGGACCACTCAGAAGAAAGACATAAGTGCTACTGGGAAATAAACCAGTGTGTGTTTACTCTTTATTGAACAGAGACAAGTAGGTGCACAATATCTTTACTCAAGTAGAAGTAATGAGTACAAAACTACTCCACAAAAAATTTCTGCCTGATTTATTAAAAAATAGTTATTCATAAATGAAATTACTGGAACGTTGTATTTTATCAGAGTTTGATTTAAGTGCTTCACTTTCATTTTTTGATAACTTAGTTTTAAAGCAACAACTTCTAATACTTTTTTTTCAAGGAAGCTGCAACATTATTTTTGATAAAGAACTTCTTGCACTATAATTAATCAACTTCTTTGAATGCAGAACTTTAGCTTAAACATTGTGGGAGGAGAACTTTATCTCTTTCTATTTTATTTTTCCTTTTACTCACTTTTGAGCACAGAATAGCTGCAGAATAAAAAAATTCAACAGTTTTTTTTACACAAGCACATCTTTGTTTAGAAAGTAATAATGTTTAAGACTGTGTAAATCCAAATCTGAACATTTGTTTCTAGGTAGATTGTTGGCTAGAAGATAGTTATTGAAAATATGCCAGAAACATGATAACACTAAACTAATGAATATTCAAGTCAAAGAGATAAACAGAGATCTATCACTTTTATCTTCAGGATAGGTTGGCCAGGGTTGAGGGGGAAATCTCATGACACACCAAAGCCCCATTTATGCTATCTTGTCCCATTGCACTATAACAGTATAGGAGGCAGGGCTAAAATTAGTATCATTGGCTTGCTGTATAAGCTTGAGCTAATATAGGGTGACCTTACATCCTCTTTTACCTGGACATGTCCTCTTTTTTGGGAGCTGTGCGGCCTTGTCCGACTTTGTCCAGGGTAATTTATAAAATCCTTAAAATGTCCGGGGTTTTGTGTGGAAGTTTTGAGTTTGAGTCGCATCGACTTACTGTCTTAGAAGTGTGTAAAAAACTCAAAATTAACTACACGCAACTCTGTGACACTGCCCCTGCATAGTCGTGTCCTCTTTCTGGGGATTCAGAATATGGTCATCCTAGCTAATAAATTAGCTACAGCTAAAGTAACTCTGCTTGAATGTACAGTTTGCTGAGACAGTGATGAATAAAAGATAATTGTTATATTGGAGAAATTCTCCAGTTTTATGAATAAGTAGAAACTTATTAACAGATAAGTAATCTGCCATTTTGGTGGTTAAGTTGAACCAGGAATGTTTTTTTGCCTCTTTGAACCAAAATCCAGTTTACAGTTTTCTGACACACAAACACAAACGTTTTCCAGTGTGCACACAAAACCAACCACATTTTTATATGAACACAATAAACAGATTAGTAAATAAGATACTGATAAAAGCAGTTCTCTGAGTTAAATAGTGGAAATAAATGTTTTTTTTTTTTCTGCATTAGTGGACCTGAGAGACTTAAACACACATATTCCATAACCACTTCTTCCACTGACCTTTAAGGGCATCTCTTGTTTATCCACAGTATCAGTGATAATTACAGCTTATGGCTCAATCATTTACATCTATGATGTTAGACCTGGTGAAAACTGACTGCTGTGCTGCTAACGAAACGTTCAACACTTGGGGTCTGATCAACTGAGACCCCAAATAGCGAGGGCTAAATTGCCTATGCAAACAAAAAAATTGCACGTGCTATTAGTGGGCATGTTGTGGGTGATCTGTTATGATTGCGTGCGCAATTGATAACGGGTGCAAAAGTGGTGTGGACTGCCTTCTTTAAAGGAGCACTATCGGCCGTCAGCATGGAGAGTTTGTGAGAGCAGAGTGTTTGAAGCCATGGAGTTGCACATATCGAGTTGGGGAACTGCATAAAAGGCAAGGCAAGTTTATTTGTATAGCACAATTCATACACAGGACAATTCAAAGTGCTTTACAGATACAAAAAGATATACTAGAAATCAAAAAAGGGATTAAAATGATTTAAAAGAAAAACAGATATTTTTTTCGTCTGTTCTGTGTTTGACCTTATTATTTATGAAAATCGTCATTTACCAGAAAAACGAAATAAATCAAGTTTTTGGACAAGGATCATGGTGTGTATCCTGGCACTTCTGCATCCTTCTCCCCATAATGACTGTGCGTAATGCTGTGTCAGTTTGCACGTGCCTTTTAAACGTGCTAAATATAGACGCAAAACAGCGACCGCAATCGGTTTTCGGATTTGATGAATCACATTGCGGGAGCATTTGCATCCGCTCCTCCCAGAATTTTGCGTGTTCTGATGATCTACATACATTCTGCATATTTATGAAGGCAAACACGCTAAAGATTGCACGCTGTTTTGCTCATTTGATAGACGCAATCCTTGGTGCACCCGGTTAGTAGATCAGGTTTGCACTCGCTATCAAGTTTGCACGTTTTTGCACACACAAACCCTTAGTAGATCAGGCCCTTATTCTTCATGAGTTCACAGAACTCTTTTAGGGTGAAAACGAGCCAGGTAGCATCCATACGCTGAGTGAAATTTTGTTACGAACTTCCCTTTTTTAGACTGGACACGCTTGCATTGCATTTGAAACAGATGCCCTCTGTACATCCAGTAGACAAATGTGAAACCAACAGAACATCGTTGTGCAGAGACAGGGAAAAGAACAACAAAGAAAGCAGAAGTGGGCTACACTCCTCATTCAGTCCACGAATGATGTGTGACAACCCCTACAGCACCAATTTTTTTCTCCTCTTAACCACAGACTTCAATAATAATATGAAAGCTTTACTTTAATGTTCAGAGCAAAGGCAGTCACTGCCCATAATTGCTTGTTACTTACCTGGTCGCACTTTCCCTGTGCACAGTCCCCTCTCACTGCCACTCACAGTTAACCTACTTCCAGCCTAGCAGAGCCCCACATGTCTCATCAGAGCTGTGGTTTTTGTACATTTTGTGACACTCAGTTTGAAGCACACTTTTAATCCACATTCCTCTCCTCTGCTGCATATCCTGCTGATCATTTCAACGCTGTTTTACTCCATCCACACACTTTAATGATCATGATCTGTTTGCTAGGTAACAGGAGGGAAGGCGGTTAAGGTGGTAAAGTCAGCTGGAAGGACTGGTCAACTTTTATAATAAAGAAATAACCAATGCACTGCTGCTCCTGCTTTGTAGGTCAATCAATGGTAAATGTATTTTTTATTATTATTATATATACATAATAAATGACCGCTTGGTCAGGTGTGAAAGCGACCTTAGACTACAAGTGATTTGTTGTTTTACAGATGTGAGAGCAGCCTGAGCAGTTCCAACCTCCTCTGACAGGGAAATGTGGTGCAACATCCTGTCCTGCAATCCAGGCAATGCTAGTAGAGCTGAGCTGAGTGCATTTCTAAGATGCTGATTGCATAAAAACTATATATTGTACTGATAACAGCAATTGTGACAAAGTTGTACCAGAGAGTTGTGACCCCTCTGCTTGATCAGACTTTTGCCCACATTGTCAGGATTTTAGGTAAACAACAACCTGCTCACTAAATATTAATTGATATGGGTTATTTTTATCAGTGTAGCTGAAACATTGTGCAGCCCTTTAAATCCACAACTATGAATTGTTCAGCCTCTATATGTGACAATCTAAGTACCCTTCAGTTTCTATTTAGCATGTTAATAGCCAATGAGAAACACTCATTATGATATTAGTTCAATTAGACTTCAAAATAAAGTAATTTAGTTGGGGATAATAAAGTGAAGCATACAGGAACAGTATATTCTTTAAATTTGCTTCAGAAAAAACACAAAAAAACAATTTAGGTTACAAGTAACTAACTATGTGTCTGGTTTTAGGTGTCACTTGTTATGTTTACGAAATGGAAAATGATTTGGTTTTGATAGCAGTTTGTCTCATATTTTGCAGCCCACGTGGACTGATTCAGTCTTGGCCACATGCCGTCCACACGATCAGATCGTATCTTGTGATAAATTCCTATCCCACTGACTTTGGACAATCAAATGCAACACTTTCCGTAAATCTTTGATGCAGACACTTGCCCTCCAACACTTATTTCAGGCATCATGAATTACTTGTAAACATGCTTTTCCTTGTTATAAGTCAATTATATGTTTCTTTATACACTTTGCTGCATACTTTAATAAGATTCTAAAAAAGTTAGATTTTACACATGATTAAAGTATAGACAATAATCATCTGGATAAAAAGGTGCATGTAGACTTTCCCTCTTGGCTTCAACTGCATATCAAACAGAGAGACAGAGGACAACTCCCAGAATTGAAAGAGTCACTGACAGTTTAAAACTTTAAAAGCTTTTGGCTTTGACCAACCTGATGTTTGATCTTTCTCTCCTCCAGTAGAGACCCAATATGTTTACCCGTTATAATGGTGCAGGCAAAAAGTGTGGTATTGCATTTTAAGATAAGAAGAACTTTAAGTTTCTCAGAGGGGAAATTCAATATTTTTGTTTCTATTTTATTTTAAAGCTAAATATATATGAAAAAAAAAAAAAAAATCACTTTATTTTTGAGAGCTTCACTTTTATTCAAGAATATTTTTCAGACAAAAGATTAGAAATTCATCACATTATGCAGTGAAAGGATTGTTTTCAGACACAGTAACACAGTGTTGTACAAAAAAATACTACATACACATCAAAAACGTAAGTGCAATAATCACTATCATTATCACCAGTTATGGTTGTAGTTCAACTAAGAACAATTTAAGCTTGTTAGTTCCAACATTACAAGGTTTAATAAAAAAAAAAAAAGGTTTCATTTGAAGTAACATTTACAAAAACTCTATGAAAAACTACAGCAAACTTCGAAAGACACATCCGAAGGTTAATTTTGTTCATTAATACCATAATTCTTAGATTAAAACTCAGACTGCTTTATGTTACATCTGCTTTGTCTGCCTTGTTTTTATCTCAGCAGAAGTTGAATGTGTTTGGAATGATTACAATAAATTGTGGCTTTTTTAATTTGAAAATAAAATTAAAAAAAGATTTGATTTGACCTTGAATATTATTTAGTTTAACAAGGTTTTTATTCTCTCTATACTTTTGTAAATATGATGCCATAGGAACTCCATTTGTGTTTAAGTTCATTACATAATGAAACCTCATAAAGAATGAGTTTTGCATCATGAAAGTTGGGCAAAATCGACCTGACTTCAAATATTCATAATTATATTTAAAAGTGTAAACAGTCTCAAAATTATGCAGCTTAAAATCAAAGATAAACATTTTTTTAATAAGAAAAAGAGCTCTCCTGTTATTTTCTGATCAACACAAGATCATTTTCTCAGATTGTGAACTCATATTATCGTGTATCAAAAAGTAGGATTGATTGACGTTTACTTCTTTTATTTTCCATTAACCCTCAAAAAACTTGACAAAGAACGAGCAGACGGAGTGCCATCCCTCGCTGCAGTAAGTCTGCACCGGCTCCATATCATTCACCACACCTTCCTCCTCATAATCAGTCCTTTCCTCCCTCTTCTTCTTCTCCTCTTCCTCATCCTCCTTCTTCTTCTTCCTCTCCACCTTTCCTCCGTCTGGGCTCTTGGTTGCTGGATTCCCTTTCTTTTTCCCTCCTTCCTTTGCTCCTTTCTTATCCTCTTCCCCTCCACTGCGTGTGGCAAGCTTCATGTGGGCCTCAGCAGGAGCCTTCTTGCAGGTTTTGGCCTTCAGGACTTTCTCTCCCTCACAGGCATTCTGCCTCTTCTTCAGCTTCCCTACCAGCTGCTTCCAGTACTGGCTGGACTTCACCCCATAGGCCTGGCAAAGGTCTGGTTTACCTGCATAACGACACCAATACCTAGAGAAGGGGACGGAAACAAGAAAAAAATAGTCTGCAATTAGTGCCGTCTCTATAGCAACGGACTACTATTGAGAAATAGCAGACCTTATCTATAGTGTATTGGCCAATCAGAATCAAGAATTCAACACATTTGCATCTTCTGGGTCAGTTTTTGGCTTCATATCTCACAGTGGGCAGAAATTAAGCACGTTATATATCTCTTACAATTCTTATTTGAATCCAGCTGTTTCAAGTTATAATTGTGAGTTTGCTATCTAAGTGTTGCTCTCATATATAAATATATTGCATATTAAAGTTTTAAATACTTACTTCAAGAGAACTGTAAAAATGTCCATGTACAAGAGTAAATGCTACTCTCTGGTTTAAATTTGATCTAAAATCTAGGTTACTGTATGACACGATGACAGAGAAGCTTGTAAGATAGTCATGAATATATATTATGTAGGGTGCAAACACTGTGTGAACCCTCATAAATAGATTGGAAAATGAAATATTCTTTTGTAACAATAAATATGTTGTACTGGAAAAGTTGTGATTTGAATCATTATGTCCATAAAATGTGATTTTATCCTCATACTTGCAAAAAAGGTCAGAACAGGCTGTCTGTCCCTTCTAAATCATAAAAATTTATAAGACAGCTTCCTCAATAGTCCAAAATGAAACCACACAGATAATAATTGAGTATGAAGGTCCACTTTATGAAATGACCTTTTTTTATTCACTAAAGTTAGCCCCTAAATTATTCAAATGTCAAATTCAAATTAATTCCAAGGTCTCACAGTCCTCGTAGATGTAACCCCATGTGAATTTCAAATTATCAGGTAAAATACTTCTGTTAATGGTCCCCTCACCTCTGCTGTTCTCCCAGTGTTTCAGTGCTGCAGTTCACCAGAAGGCTCACCAGACCTTCACCAGACGTCTGCCAAACGCAGCGATGGCCATCCTTGGTCGTCAGCTCTCCAGAGCCGGGCACTGAGCGGTTTCTGGGTCTTTTAGCCGGCTGGGGGGTGGTTGGAGGCTGGCGGGGCTTGTCGGGTCTACCCTGACTGAGCTGTTTCTTTGACTCGGTGAGTACAGGGATGCAGAGAAGGAGGAGGAAGAGGAAACTGACAGGCAGGACACTCATGGTGGCTGGAAAAGGGACATTTGAACACATGAAAAGGGATGCAAGTTAACAGGTTTACTTTTATGGCTCAATAACTGTCTGCTGAAGCTAAATCATGAACAGAATTGGTTAGATTTAATATCTGTTACATTTAATTTTCAGGTGCATTATCATTGATACAGTTCATTGCATTTAAATATGTTTTAATTTAAGATTATTCAAGATTATTTATTCAAGTATGCTGCAATTAGTGCTGTCTCCATAGCAACTGACTACTGTTGAGGAATAGCAGACCTTAGCTATAGAGTAATGGCCAATCAGAATCCTCAACAAGTAATTGAATCACATAAACACTAAAAACCATTGTACAATTTTAACCAGCGGTAAAGAGAATGCAGACAGTGCTGAGAGGACTATAAGTTTACGCCCCTTTTATGTATCCAGTTTACAGTGTAGTGTTTACATTCCATGAAATCTTATGTATCACGGTGGCATCAAGTCCTCCCCCCTCTTGTGTCCATATCAGAAGTAATAAAATAGATCTAACAGGGGATGAGATGCGATCACTAAGTTGGCACAGGAGGCAGACCAGAGCAGTGAAGTGAAATATCTTGGTCACATCATCACAGACCAGCTGACAGATGATGAAGACATTTATCACCAGTGTCGTATGTTGTATGTTCGAGCAAATAGATTGTCATGTAAATTTGGTTGTTGCAAAATGTATTGTTCCTTTGTACACCGCACACCTGTGGCTGAACTATAAAAGAGGCAGCCTTCAGAAACTGCAAATTGCTTACAATGATGCCCTGAGGATACTCTTAAAAAGGCCCAGATGGGTGAGTGCGAGTGAGTTATTTGTGAGTACTGGTGTAAATACACTGCAAGCGGTTCTGAGAAATGTGATGTACAGGTTCAGTTAAATGACTCAACAAATTAAATTGTGTTGCAAATGGTGAACATTGGGCTCATTTTTGGAGGCACTGGTACAACTGTGTTTTGAAGATGAGCTATTAGAGTGTTTTGTTTTTTGTTTTTTTCTAATTCTGTGTTCTTTTTGTACTGTGTCTTGTTTTTTTTTTTTATATGGACCCTGAGTCTGGAAATAAAGCTATCCATCTATCTATCTAGCTATTATTATGTTTTTTTATGAACAGGGGGCATCCATCTCTTCCCACATTCAGATGTGAAGCCACAATGGGCACTGATCAATCTCAAAGGTGGCTGGTGGACTGACTTCACACCTCTAGCACAGATTAAAGCATATGTCTGACTTATAGATAAAATGTCAGTGATCTCGTTTGTCATTACAGAACATTCTGTGCTGCTCTTATTTCAATAGGATCGCTGCAAAAGCCTGAATTTGTCAACCACAGACTGTATAATAATTGGACGTAGTGTGGGTGATGACTCTTAGTTGTTTCGGAAGCTGAGTTTGAAGCCTTTCAGCAGCAGTTATCATATCGGTAATGATGACTGAACCTAACAAGTCAATCTATCAGAGGTGGGTTACAAAATTATGTACACTGACGACATACTGTGACAGACCCATATAACCTCTTAATATTGGCTGACTTGAATACAGAGAGGACTTTAATTAGCATAAATGAGACTGACATAAGAACTTTCAAAGTTGCGGCAGCATTGATACGGTGATGCTTGCGGAAAAGGACCTTGACGCTCATTAGTCCCAGCTTTTTCAAAAGCAATGCCTGTACAAAGTGCTGGCCTGACAAGTGAGCCAACATTTTCATCTTTAGAGCAGTGCTGTAAACATGTCTGAAAAGCAGCTGAGTCCAAAACTAATTGATTTTCAGCCTCACGTAGAGGTCAGTACTCCGGCATTTTCTGCTACAAAACTCCTCAGTGTTTTGTCAAACTCTTGTGTCTTGGCAAGCTCTCAGAGCTGTTTAGTCTTTCACAACTTTGTGTGTACTCACACACTATTTAGTCTTAAAATTCTGTTGTATCTGTAGTGGTTCAGTATTACTATGCCCTCAGTAACGTGGGAAGTCCTAAGTCTTCTTCATCACTAACAGAAGACCACAATGTCAATGAGTGGCACAACCCTAGTGTTAGATGTTAAAAAAGTGGACAATGGACACAAAGCAGGGGTGCGAGTCCCTGACAGCGACTTATTGAAAATCAGTCAAGCGTCAGAAACACTCCCCCAAGACGGGTCCGCACCGGACACGTAGCTGTCAAACAACAAGCAGGGAGGGCAGGAGATGGCGGAGGAGGAGGAGGAGAGAGTTCCAGCTACAACATTTTATCATCACTTTCACTCTCAAATGTGCGATTTAGGACTTCCAGAGGAGACTAGGTCGTAAACACAGCAGACTCTGGAGAAAACCGTGAACAATTTGCAGTAGAGTCAAAATCAGTAGAGAACAAATACAAAGAATTCAACGGTATCATCAGTTTAGACAGTTTTATCTGAAAGTAACCATCCTATGCTGCAGTATGATTCTGTATACACAGACACAATCATATTAACTTATTGCATTTGCCTTTCAAACTCTTCTGTTGAAAATGTAAAATAAATAAGTCATAAATGGATCACAATGTTTAGATAATTATTTGTCTCTTAGTCTTACGGACATTTAACTGCAGATTTAGTTGTTAATTACCACTGTTGGCAGTCTGCTCTCTAAAGTCTGTTTTAATGAGCGCAAATCATTCCTGTCCTGTGCACTGTTGTGCCCCTGGATCATTGTATTCTCCCACTACTATAATAATGTTATACTGAGAACAACAAAACAGTTTAAGTGGTGGTATAATTAAGTCCATTAATGATATAATTATGTTTGTGTTGCAATAATTTGTAAAATTAAATCAGAGGTACATTGAGCTCAAGAGCACTGTGCTGTTATTACATTATGACTTTCTAATATTCTCCTTTCATTTCTCCGTACCATGGAGAACAAATTGTCTCGTTGTTCCGAATCCACTGCAAATTGAAAATGACTTTTTCTGCAGTAGAAATCTTAACATAACTACAATTTGCAGAAAGAAAAAGGCTTTATTATCTTTCCTTCTAAACTATACCTGCAGAAGCTCTCAGGATAATGGGCTAAAGGATGTGCATTCAGTAACAATCTCTTGTATAAGCCTCAACTGTCTGTCTGTAAAAAGTCCACACTGGAAACATCATTATTACAAATACACAGTTGAAATAGATGGCAAGTAATTTAGCAATAGCTAGTAAATACCCATAAAAAAAATCCAGCTATTCAAGACAGTATTGTCTGTCTGCATGCCATATAGAAGTGAAAATTTCTATTTGTAATGGTATAATAAAGTACATATCTGATTTTTTACAGTCATAAGTGTAATATAAAGAAGATAATTTACTCTGGCCTGAGCGGCTGAAACACATAACACATAAAGATGCTATTAGCACTAAGATTGTACATCATCTGTTAAAGAGATCAATGTGCATCTTATAACAAAAGCCAAAGTGGGACCAGATTTGGTTGGCTTTTCAAGTTTTATGATTTATTTATTTATTTTATCTAGTTTCTGATTAAAGTTTGTTAGTTTTAACAGAGTCAACATTCACTTGACAGATGCAAGTAAACATCATGTTTCAATATCCTACAAGCCAAGGACAAGACCCAGATTGCTTGTAATGACTGAAAATTCTGGCATCGGGGTGACCAAAAACGGCAAATCCCTTTTCTGATATTAAGTCATTGTTCATGTTTTTAGAAAGTCTTTTTTACAGAAAAATAGAAAAAAAGTTTTCTCAACCCATTGGCTGATTTTTTATTTTTTTTTTTGAAACAGTCATAATAAACTGTTTAGGTCAAATTGACCCTGTGGCTCAGATTATCTCATGTCCAACTGGGCCTGGATTGCTGTTATGTTCAAAATCGCAGAAAACAACTCTTTTTTTAAAAAAAATCTGAAGTCACTGTTAGGAAACACAGCAGCAGCGTAAGGCAACTTAAACAGGCAATTTGACTGACCAAAAAAGGCAAAGTGTGTCTTTATATTCTGAAAATGTACCATCCAGAAATCACTGAGAAACAACTGTGAACAGCATCTTTCTGAAGAGAAAAGCAGAGCTGCTTCAGTACGCTGAAGTGGAGTTAAGTGGGTGTACTTAGATTCTAGTTCATCTATACTGTCTTTTATATACACCCCTCTTCAGGTGGAATTAATTTTGGTTTCAACTTCTTTACATATTAAGATTTTCTTTTACAATCTTGATTTGCACAAAAAAAAAAGTCGATCAACTCTCAAACGACATGCATTTTGGCAGTAAGTGTCACTTGTTCGCAGCAGCAAACTGGACTAAAAGAATAAAAACAAAGAAGCGCCGCACCAAAACAAAAATAATCCCCCTACCAAGAACAGCCCCTGCCCCTCCAAACACAGTCCACATCAATAAATCATAACAAGAAAACCATTTTTGTTTTACTGGCTCTAGGGCTCAAATATTTGGATTAAGAGTTAAAGGAAGAAGCTAAAACCAAGAGAAGTACAGTGTTGGATGTTTGTTGTTATGCATTTGAGTGTGAGCAGAGGCCCGGTGTTCTTACCATGTGACGCTCCACGGATTAGAGTTGCAGTGAGAATGTTGGGGCCGCCAACCCCTCAATAAAAGAAGGAAGAAGACGGGGATAAAGAAGCAGGAGGAGGGGGATAAAGAGGAGAAGGAGGAAGGAGGGGGTTCAGAGAATACTAGGAACAGCCCACCCAAATCCAAGGTACCTCCCACATTTACCCCTTCAGATAACGCCTTTTTCTCTTGTGATGGTCTTTCTTCATCAACCATTTTATAGGATCGTATAATACATCATAATACATCAATACTGAAGCTGTGGCTTTTGCATATTTTAATTTCACTTGAATAAAAAGACAAAATAAATCTGGTTAAAGTGTACATACTCAAGTGTCTTGATTTTTGTCAGCTGGCTATCCATAAGTTATTTGATGCTATTCTGAGCTCAAATATCTAAAATTGGACTCCTGAAGGCTATAACTATTTTAACTGTAAAATGGAATTAGAAACCATTACCAAATATATAAAACATTGTTTAACAACTAATAAACTGTAGACACTGAAACAGGGTACGTGACTCACAGCTAGGGTGCTTAGTTTTCATAACTAAGCAGACTTGTGTTATTCAACAGTGAATTTTGTGGGTCAGAATAGAAACTCTGTTTTTAAAAATAATTGAGTTATTCAAAAGTAGTTATTAACCATACAGATACTGATGAACTATGAAGCTGAGAAACTATCTACGAATAGACAGTTAATCTGCCAGTAGTAGCATTATTATTTTGTAATTGCTTAAGTGCATTATACACCTGGTCTTACCTCAGTTTAAAAAATACAAAAAATACAACTGTGCGGGGTCCGCCACCCTCTGTCGCCTTACCGGCGTACACGAAAATAGAGCCCTATGTGTTTGGGCCAGATACTGTAGACTGTATATTGAATGGACGCCTTCTGCCTCCTCACTGGGTGAAGCCACCCTTAGGGACAGCACCCTCTTGTGACAGGCTGCAGTATAGGTCATGAATCTCGCCTTGTCCAGTCATCCCTGTAGAGCTGTGGAGAAACTTTAAAAGTTTATCACACAGAATAATCCCTCCTCTGCTTGAGATGTTGGCATGGAGTTATTTTGAGACTGGTTTATGCTCGAGTCTTCTTTTTTTCTGTGCAGCTCCATTTTTAAAAGTTATTAGGGGGGTCATGTTTTCTATGATTGACACTTGTTACAGCTTAAGGGGGTACGAAGATCGCGTTGCTTACCTGGAGGATGTTTGAGCCAAGCGTCATCACAGCAACTCTTGGCAACTCTCCCAATGAATGTGTACAATGCTACTGCAGAAGTGGTGGTTCCAGGAAGCGGAGAAAAAACCCGGAAATACAGAGAGCTTTTTGGCTTCAAATCTGTATACTGGCGGAAGGTGGAACCAAGTTGTCCATAGTATATACAGTCTACAGTTTAGGCTCTCCCACAGACAGAATATATGACAGACAGGAAGAAAGCATGGAATTAAGCAAGTAAATATAGTATGTATAGGCAATATATAGGGGGTTCAGTCACACTATAAAGTAACTTGAACCACAGTGGTGTTGATAAAAGCAATGAATTAATGGCACTAAAAAGGAATTTGCCCTCTGCCTATTCAGGGTTTCCAAACATAGTCAGGATCCAGTATGCAGAAACACCCACTCACTCTTCAACAATGGTTGAATTGTCGTTTTGAGAGTTCAAATCTTCTGTTTAATTTTCTTGCTCCTTGCCTGGTGATTATACACACACACGCACACATTTATATATAGATAAATATAAACACTGCCATTTTACAAGTACTGTTTTGGGGTTTCAGGCTTGGAAACCTATGGAAAAAAAATCAAAAACATTGCATCTTAGTGTAAAGCACCACCATGTTTAGATATTTGAGACTTGTGGTCAGTGTGTACAAAACAACAACAACAACAAAAAAGTCACACTGCAGAAGTGACTGGACCCCCTGCCGAGTCACTGGCCTTTGCAGCACAAATCTTCGCCACTTCAACGGGTGATTAACAAATATGGCATGAACAAATATCCAAACTACTCATTTGCATACTGGCCCCAAATAATCCATAATGCATCAAGTGTTGCATAAAAGAAGACGAAAATACAAGAGACTCTTCTTTTCTTGTTTGGCCAGGGAACATTTGTGTGTCTCTCCATGTGTCACTGCATTTTTAACAGCAAGTGACTTGGCTCTCAGCAAGATGAATGAGGAGACTCCTCTCTCCTTCAGGACAAAGACACTGCAGAAATCTAGGTCACAGCTTAACCCCCTGCTGACACCCTGTCATCGCTACCCAGCTCCTTCTCATTCAGCTCAGGGGTTGGTAGAGATCCCCCCCCCCAACACACACACACACAGCCAAATGCCTGTTTGGCGAGAGATGCTCTGAAAAACAAGCCCACCACATCAAATTTGTCACTCTGCCCTGTTGTGACCGATCAGGGAACAAATATGTCACACCAATCTGAAAGGAGCAACATGGAAGTGAGAGGCATTGTTTACTCGAGTCTTTAAAGCCAGATCAGTGGTGTCAGAGTTAATACGTGACTTTTGGAGGCAATTGACTGATGTACGGTTTAAAATTGGGGAGATTTTTAGATCTCTTTTCTACTCATTACATCTTTCTGTGTGTTTCTGGTACATCTGAGAAAGTTTTCTGCTTTTGCATAATTTACAGTCTGGGTCAAAGGGTCATATTTCTTTATTTTATTTTTTTATTTTTTTGTTGCTGATGGTTCAAAGCCAATACTCTGTCTTTGTAGCTTTTACGCTAAGGAACGTCACCTTCACAGCAAGATTCACACAGACCTTCAACTGTGTGTGGTAATTTTTATTTTGGCATCCATGTAAAAAGTTTTCAACCTTCATTAACGAGCCAAAGTATGAGTCTACAGGAGTGGGCTATCAGATCTGGAGGGCCATGTTGACATTGCATTAGATTCTTGTAATGTAGGTGTCTTATAATGAAAATGAAGAGTGTTAAATTTTCAAAGTAAGAAATCTTTCATTTTTATGAACACATATAAAACTTCCAATATAGTCACTAGATGGCACCCTTACTCAGTTATTCCATTGTTCTGTCAAAGGTTGAACTGTAAGTGCTGATGTGACCTAATTACGCTGTATGCTTGAGCAATAGAGGAGCAGGCACAGCAACTGTGGTTGAGTTTTATGCCGTGTTTATGTTTATTGAATTGAATTGAATTGAATGCTTTTATTGTCATTGTCACAATTGCCACACTGTCACAACAAAATTGCTTTATGTTAATGTTATAAATAAACCTTTTTTACATTACAGCACACACGTGCAGCACAACTCTACTTATGATCCATCAGGAGAGAACAGCTGCGCACTTTGTTGCTCAACACTTTTATTCTAAATTTTCCCTCTCAGCAGTCGTTTTGTAGATAAAGTCACCCCTAAAGCTGTTCACTTGCCTTTTTTACCTCCTATTTAAAACATGTTGCTGGTATCAACTTTAAAATGAGCATGTATATTTTTCATAAAACAAAACCATGTTTATTTTGATCATTTGATGTTACCTTTGCACACAGAATCCCAAATATTTTTTTGGAAATGGTTTTTGCCAGCAAAGTAACATTATTCCACATAGTAAGTAGGTTATTATTTGTTGATGATTAGCCATCACACAGAGTCTAAGTTAACTAGACTGTGAGAGCCACTCAAATGGAGTTGTTGATTATTTATTTATATGGCACTTTTCACATGCTAGAGGACAAATCATGAGGAAAAATAAGAGCAAAATTGCATTTCTGAGTATTGCTGCATTCAAATCTCTGTGAATCTCTGGCAGACCCAGGCAGGTTCAGACACAGTGAGATTTTTTACATCACAACTCCAAGCTCCGTCCCCGGAGTCCCGCTATGCAGGCCAGACTCAGAGAAGTAGAGAGGGCTAACGTGGAACAAGCGTGTCCATTAGCAGATTTCAATGCTAGTAGGGAAAGCTAATTATGATATTATCTTTCATCATGTTCCCAAAGACATTAGTGTCTGAGAGCTGAATAGCTCCTATGTGACCTGCCACTTCTGCTACGCTGGCAATGTTAGGCTGCAAGCTAGCATGAAGAGGAGTGTGCCGAGCTGCACTGTCTCCGCCCACGACTCAGAGGCGAACTGCTTATAAGCTACATGGAGGTCCTTAGAAGAAAAGCCCTTGAAAATGATACAGATAAAGCGATTAAAAAACTTCATAATCGCAATTGAAAGACCACTGAGAAGACTTTGAATAGTAAAAAGATACAATCAGGACTTCAAGTGTCTCATTGTGGCATTTATGTAATTGGGGGGGTGCTCTGTTGTGGGGGCGATTGAGACAGCCATGGGGGCCATATAGAAGTAGTTTTTGGTCTCAGTAAAAAATATGGTTTATGCACAACAGTTGTCATGGTTGCTGACTTAACACTCATTTTCCAAAATACTTAAACTTAAATTTTTTACAGACATTGTATTGCATTCTTCAATCTTCTGAAGATTGCATGTTTCACCAGGCCTCACTGACTGTCTTTGCCAGAAATGATTAGTGTCAGCCTCTTCAAGTAGACAATCTATTTATTTTTAAATAAACAGTAAGTCCAGTTGAGGGTCATTTTTTGAACATGATCCATCTTTTGAACGTCTTTTTCTAAAGATATGTTTTGTTGCACTAGATGGGATGCTTTGGAGGCAAAAAAACACCGGTCTGATCCAGGGAGTGTGCTCGTCTTTGTTTGTGTTTCTGAGCTGATCTGCTGAATGATTTATATGTTTGTCACAGATACTTTGTGGAACAGAGCTGATAAGAAATGTGAAATCCTGAAACATCCTTTTGTGTTTACAACATGGAACACTAATTGGAGAGCAAATATGCAGCTGAGACTCTGTTGCCTCCTACTGGGGTTTTTTAGAAACAAGCACAACAGAGGTTAGAAAACACTTCATCTGTGATAGAGAGATTGTCTGTTTTGGAAAATAAAACACTACAATGACACATTGTTAGGGACAGAACAGGTGTATCTACAACTGTGAAAAAAATTAATGCATGTTGATTGTAATTTGTATTTATTTATTTTTTTCAGAAGCAGAAAAATT